AGGCGATTCAGTCTTATCTATCGATCAACCTTTCGCTACTGGAATCGTTGATACGCTATCGGTAATGCATGCCATGTAGCTACGATGTAGGTTAGCTGTAGCTTGTTATGGGTCTGAAAAAGACGTATGCTCAAATACTCAGCTTGTTTTAATCAGCTTAAAAAGAGGTGAGGAATAAACCAAATCACCAAACGTCTAATTAAATGCCCAACCGTTAGTTACCACCTAATTACAGATAGCGCCATTCTTTTTGTCGCCTTGAGACGGATCAACATAACAGATCAGAAACTGACTCTGATACCGGCATATCCCAGATCCACGACAGATGCTGTCCATTTGCAGACTGTTCGGTGTCTGTCGCTGCATACCGACTTACAGCGACGCCAGACGACTACCCAGACAGCCGGTATCCCACCCTTTCCTGGTCCGACGCCCACGAAACTCCCACAATACGTCAGATTCAACAGTCGTGGGTGTCAGCTGCATGCCTACCCCCATAGTCATGAGAGTCAGGGGGCGAAACAATGCCACAGTGAGGAGTCTGAACTCATGGCATGTAGATGCAAACTTACCAGCGCTCTCATGACACGTGACACGTGACTGCCGCAGCTGGCTGAACACTCTCATTGGTCACGTGGGGTGCGTGAGCTTAGCCGTCTGCGGCGCTGTGGCGTGGCGTTGTGGCCTGTAGCGTGGGGGCCGCGAGCGAGGGGCTGAAACATTGGCGGCAGGCGCCCCTGTCCGGTGTCCATGGGTAGGTGTATTGTCCGCCCCCCTGTCCGCAGCCGTGTCCGCGTGCCACGTCCGGACAATAGTGCGTGACGGAACGGCCGGGGCTGCATCGATCGGTGAAACGTGCCGGTCCGCGCGTGGCAGCTGACCCGTGCCGGGAAGAGCGGCCACCCGTCCATTGCAAAGTGGGTGAGAAAGTAACGTCGGCTTCGGTCAATTGGCGAGGCCATGTTTATCACGTACTCAGTAACGGCGCCGTTCCAAACAACGCAGACGTGACTAGCAAGAGGTCAAACCGGGAAATGCAGTATGCACGAAAGAACCGCATATAACAATATCTGATTACCTGACCAAATCGTGAGACATGTTGGAACGGTTCTCTCGGGTCGTGGAGTAGGGTGCCGGTGGGACGTTTGGTCCCGCTCTGGCTCGAGTTGCAGAGTAATGAGACGTGCACAGGACCGGGTACGGGGAGGTCGTAAAGAGGCCACGCTGTCGAGGAGCTCCGGGAAGAGGGTGGCGGCTGAGGGGGGGGGGGGGCGCCGCTGACCGCAGTGACTGACCCCGGACCGACAGACGAACTAAGGAGTGCTCTCCTGTCACAGTGATTACTGCGCGGACCACCTGTCATGTTCGTCGTACCGTACGAGCAGAAACACGAAACGAACCACCGTGCCAAGCTGGCCGCCCCCGCCCCTGTCGCGCTTCAACACGCTCCCCGCCGAGACAGAGACACGTCCTTCGTCTCACCGTGGGAGACAAGCCCACCTCACATCCGGCCCCATCTCAGGACACCTCAGCTGGCCCAGTCCAGGTCATGGGAACCCACAGACACTTTAATTAGCTCGCACAAAGCGGCTTGCGCAGACTTTCTGTTTATGGACCATTCGCCGAATCACGTCCTGGGTCAGAACCGCCTCAGTGACGGCCATCGCGCAGCAATTGTCACCTGAACTGCCTCGCGCCCTGACGTGATGGTACAGAGTACACTTGAACAGCTGCTCGGACGTCCCCTTGGGCAGCGCTGTGACGAGACGAGTCGGGTTCTCCGAAGCAGCGACGCCGGAGGCACTACCTTTGTTGTGGCCTCAGAGAGTGGTGGAGGGTGGCGAAGGGCGGCCGTAGGACGACAGAGAACTGCAGAGGGCAGAGGAGAGAGAGAGAGAGAGAGAGGGGGGGGGGGGAGGGAGGGAGGGAGAGAGGAAGAGAGTGGGGAAAAGAGAGGAAGCTGCTCTCTGAGAATGCATTGGGGTGCAACAGAGGACACAGGAGAGCGACAATTATGTAGTCGCATGCAAAGCGGCAGAGAATGGCATATAACAACTGTGACAGAGGGGATCAGAGAGTGGCAGAGAGTGGCAGAGAGCCACGGACGCCGGTCAGGTCTGCCAGACCGCAGCCGGGCCGGTTAGCGCTGGTCGGAGGGTGGTCGGTCGTTCCCGTCCCGGACCGAGGGCAGCTGTGATGGGTGGCTCTTTGTCGGCTGAGTGGCGTGGCGTGGCCGGTCCGAGGGACGTGCTTTACGGCCGACTGTGCGACCTCAGGCCGGACGGAGAGTGACCTCAGACTGGACGGAGAGCGACCTCAGACGGGCCTCGTTTCATAAAGCGAGTCCGTAAAGCGAATCCGTTGTTCCACCTCGCAGGAGGTGGAACAACCCCAGGACGGGGGAAACGCGATGGCTTGATAGACCTGGCACAAAGAACATGTCTGCATCATCACTTCACCAATCATCACGCTTTCGGTGAACAAAGGGACATCCCCATCGGCCTTCGGGATGATGTCTTCTTGCACACTAATCCTGTCGCGTATCGATATCCATGTTCATACAGTTACAAGTAGGAAGAGTTTGACGTCTTTCCTCCTGCCGTTGATGTTGCCTGGTGGTTTTAACGCCACCATTATCACGGTTCAGCGCTTCGCTACCGCTAGCGCCGTTTCCTTTTCTGTACATTCACAGAACAAGGAACAGATGGGAAGATATGCCACTTTTGCAGGCAAAAGGAAATGCTGTTTTGGGTTCGCGAGCACGGACTCTAGTCACATAACACCCATTTCGTTCACTCTTTCCGTCTTTTTCGGTAGTCATTGTATGATTTTTTGTTTGACATTTAAAACAATTCTTTTGTCATTTGTCTAGGGCATGGATACTTTTTTGCTGTGAAGGAAATCAATTCTCACTCGATATATGAGCTGAAACACTTAGGTAATTCACCTTTTTGGTCGGGGTGGTGTAATTTCCTCACCGACCGCTGTCAGCTCGCGTACATTTTGTCCTATATTTATGCGCCTTTCACGGCTACGGCGCCGATATCCGCAGCGATAAGACAATGGAAGGTCTCTGTCAGTGGTGCGTCCGGTGTGAAAAACGGTGGCCGGCGGGTGGGAGCAAAAACCGCACTACTGGGAACGGCGATGGAATGCGAACAGACCGAGAAACCACGCCTTAGTGCTGTAACCGAGCCCATATATTGCGGCCAGGGGTGCTGATTTCTGACTGTTTCGAGGACCTTGTAAATGCAGAAACTTGCTAGCATTCGTAACGGTTAGTCTCTATCGCCTGCTTCGTGCTCCAGAGATCACTTTGGTTGGGCTGGGTTTGGCCTGCGCTGGCACACTGTAGTCATCCAGCATCTGTCGCTCGTGTTACAAACAAAACTGCACCTCCGTTATCGGCTCCCTCTCTCAGTTCAGATTTAATTACCGGTCTGGCACTGTCGCGCCAGTTCCGCGTGCGCCGACTAACTGCTCCAGAGCCCCGCTCCGACTCTGAGGCCCGCTCTCCCGTCCTCCCCGATCACCCCAGCTGGCTCGGCGCGCTCCCAAAGTGGCCGACCGGTGCGCCGACTTACCAATTACCACCGCGCGGAGCTGCAGACCGGCGAGCAGCGGCGATTGCGGCGCTAAAAACGACGAGCGGTTCGTATGTGGCGCAGTGCGCGGCGCGCCGGTCTAGCTCGGCCAATGAGGTGGCTCGCAGCCATCTGACGCGTGGCCTGGGGCGTGTTTCGCTGCCTGCGGCGTGCGTAATGACAGCCAGTCTCGGAGCAAATGATGCCCTCATCTCACTCCGACAGATGAGACTGGCCGGATGGCGACGGCAGCGGCGGAGCAGGCTCGGAGTTGGCCCACAAACGCGAGAGAGCGAGGCGCCTCACGCTGGGAAAATGCCATCTCGATGTAATTCGAGAAGGCGTGGTTTCATACCTACTTGTGTCCTGTGATTTTACAGAAGCCCGGTCTTTTCAACGAATAAATAACACCAATGCCGAAAATAGCCGGACAATTTAAATCAATGGATGAAACTCCCACACAGTGTCGATAAAATTCGTGGTTTCTAAGCCAGACACTTGATCACCGTTTCAGCTCGCCATCCCTGTCTGTTCTGTATTTCATACTAGTCCGAGGTGCTGTAACATGAAGACAGAAGCGCTCGTGCACGTTCTTACCCACAGCGGGCAGACTGACTGACGGACGGACGGACCCGCGAGGGGCGTCTCATAGAGCCAGTCTCATCACGGTGCAGGTCTGCAGATTCACCCCATCGGCCGCCCCCGCTGCGGTCGCGGACCGAACCGGTTCCGCTGCCGGCGGGGCAGACCGTCACCGGCCGGTCACCACCCTCGAACAGACGGCTACCCGCGCGCGGTGGGGCGGTGGTGGAGTTGGCATTGAATAGGTAAAACGTTTTGTTATTGCGCTTTTTGGCATCATGCTAAGGCTTCGTACTGACGCAGACCATGGATCCATGAAAATTACTGTTTGGGTTTACATATAGGTGGTATCAGCGATGAACTAATGCAGTGACATGAAGTTCCTGGTTCAGATAAAAGTCACGGTTAGCACATGTGACAAAGCTGTGCCGCAAGCCTCCTGAGCGCAAACTGATCCGCTCACGTCTCCTTTATACTGCTCCCTTCCCGCCACCTCTCTGTTTTGCACCTCCCTCCCTCCCTGTCGCTCTGTCGTTTTCTGCTCAGCTGAGCCCCAAACCCTCCTGAGCGCGGCGCCGTCTCAGTCTGTGGCGGGACGTTATCTCCATCTCACGGATCACGGCTCAGCTCTGGGCACATGGTAACGGTCGGTGGGCGGCGGCGGCGGCCGGCCATGGCCGCCTCCTCACCTCACCTCCCAACCCTGGGCCGCCGCGCCGCCACCGCCCCGGCCTGCCGCCCGCCGCTGGCCGCCGCCGGGCCGTCGTCCGCCAGCGCTGCCTGCGCTCGAGGTCCGCTGCTCCGCCGCCGCCGTCGGCTCAGGGACGGTGCAGCGAACGGCGAACGGCGGCGGCGGCGGCGGCGGAGCTCAGTCGCGCTGTGGGCCCCGCACGGGAAGGGTCTGTGTCTGTCTGTGCGCTGGACGCTGGCTGGCCGGTACAGAGTGGAGTGTGGAGTGTGAGAAGGACAGAGTGCTCCGACTCGGGACACACATTGGAGGCTGTTTGGATGCTGTATCAGGTATGGAAAATACCCTTTGAGTGACGCTAGTTTTCAAGACTCAAATATATAATATTTGGTATCCACGAACTTATGCACTAGGCGGAATATTTGGAAATCATTAATGTCGGCTGTTCTTTGGTATCATTAGATTTGCATGATCCCGAATCTGTTGTATTTATGCTAACATATTCCAACTCTGGGGAAGGTCACAGGGTTTCTGGCGTCCAAGGAAACTGGTTGGTATTCTGTCGGCTGCTACAAAGAATAAATCACATAAACTATCCATCTATCAATTTCTATCACACCGTCCGTCTATCCGTTCATGTTTAGCGGAACTTATCAGTCCTCTGCTTATCTAATTAATTCCCTCTCTCATGTCTGCGCTATCCCCTTTGGACTCTCAGACATCCGATGCTCCTCTGCTAGCTAGTTTGCATTAATCCCAAACACTACTCTCCGACCCTCCCTGTGCTGCATCGCTGCACCAACTAGTCTTAACTATGGTCTCAACAACATCATCACACTCCCAACCGGACTGAGATGGCACCGACTACCCGACCACGACGAGCCATATTGAGCAACACCGGTCCTCCACGCCAATCTATTCCGGTCGCGGCGGTCGTCTGGTGCGGTCATCTTCCGATAACCTTTGTCGGCTATTCCGAGTCGCGGCGGTCGTCCAATAGTGCATCCTGTGCCTCGAAACCGGTGTGGCGGGACGACGACGGGTCGTCTGACGTCTTCTATCGCTGAGATCTGGTGTTCGGCAGCGAGGCACGACAGCGTCAAACAGGCGGATCCACTGAATTTGACAGTGGGCCCGGTGACTTCATCATCACGTTCATAAGCCCTCTGAAGGGAGCAGAGCTACCTCGTCAGCTAGAACTCCACATGAACCGCTCTCTGCCCTCCGTTCCTGGACGTCCGTCTGTGCAGCGACCCTGCACGACCGGCTGGCGGCGCGGCGGTGGCGGCTCCGGCTCGGTCCAGGAGCGATGACCTGGTAAAAGGCGCGGCACGATCCGCCTCGCCAGCCGTTGGCGAGTGGCTGCGATTGGCGTCCGGACCGCGTGGCCGCCGCAAAATCTGCATACGGAGCCGCCGAGGGCCGAGCAGCAGCAGCGGCAGCGTCTGCCATCGGCGGCGCCGGCTCTGCAGAATGAAAATGAACGCCGCCCGAATATGGACACAAACGTGCATCGGAACGGAAGATAAAAGTGGAGGAGTGCCTTACGGGGGAGGCGAGCATTGACGTGACCTGGGTTCGTGTTGACTGATCAAGGTCTCTGCCAACGGGTCCGGGTCAGTGTCAGGTCAGACTGACATTGACGAGCACCAATAACTCATTCGCATATATGTGTGCGTAATCAAACGATAATCTTTAACCTGCTCCAGTGGCGTTTTTCATTTGCTTTACGTCCCTGGGTGTTTATTGGTCACATTTTCCAGGGTTTTGTGAAGCACGCTCTAATCCGGGTAACATTAGCGTCAACTTCCTCAAACCGATGGGCGCCTGGACCGTTATGGGCTCGGTCTAAAACCGGGGCCGAGCCGAGCAGGCGCGGCTTTGTCGTCTCCTCAGCCGCGCCAACGCTGGCGATAGGTCCCCGTGACCGTCCGACGGACACAATGCCGGCCCCGACCGTCTATCTTTCATGGTATCTGGTCCAGGATATTGTTAACAGCTTGGATTTACCATGGATAGCGTGGAAATACCCGGACCATGATATTGTATACTGGGCGCTGAAAGCCAAACAATGTCATTTGTGAGGCTAGACCTGTTGAATTCCCTCATTTTGGAAAGTGAATGACCGTGTTCAATGTTTAGTCGTTCTTTTGACATAAGCGATTCTGCTGATACCCTTTACGGACTCGCCAAAAATGCTCGTTGATTAAATGCTTTTTTTAATCCAGCTTTTCTCTCTCGCCAATGCTTGCCTTACTTGCCTACATCAGGGTCAGTTTTGACGGTTTATAAACGCTCGTCATGTAGTAATAGCATTTGATTTTCATCATTTTCTATTAATTACGATTCCATAACCCGACCTACCCGTTTATTTTTTCCTCCTCTGTCCATATGGTCCTAGATGTTCTCACCTACCCCATCCAGATGTCACGCGAGAGGCGCCCACTACCGTGTCAGCTCTCCGTTCCTCCGTCAGAAGTCATCCGTTCCAGTCGACTGCCCTGATCCTCCCTGACCGCTCCGGCCTCATGGGCTTAGGAGGGACCACAAAGACCGATAGCGGTCCCGCTGAGACGGTAGAAGACCAATGGTCCTTACTCCTTAGGTAACCTATAACAGAGAGGCATCGGACCCGGCGTTTGGATGCTCACTCTCATACTGAGTCGTGAGTCATAGCCTGGCTCTATGGATGCATGATTGCACCATTGTGAGTGGTACCACTCATTATCACTGGAGCTTGCCAAACACTTTCCGTATCATTCGGACTACATTAACAAAAATGTTGAACGTGGAAGAAGGAAAACGGATGTGATCCCTGCAGGTTAGCTTTGAGCTCACGCCTAAACGTGACGCCAGCTTGTATGGGCCGTGACGCAAGTAACCGTAAGACGGTGATGTCTGTGTCTTCAAACTTGTCGCGATGGTGACCGGGAGGAAGTGAAAAACCAATGGTGATAATATGGTAATCGCTGCAATTGCAGCGCACCATGGTTAACCATGGTGCGGTGGCAACGGTACAGTCAATGGTCGTTGCATAAGATGTGGTTCCATGAATTGCTATTTCGGTCAGTGGAGGTCAATGCCCTACCCCAGAATATGAAGAAAGTCCTCACAAGAAGTGATGAACTTGGAAGGATTTCCGGCCGACGCAGGGTGGTCACGGTTCACCACAGCCGTCCCGGCCAGTCACGAGACATCACGGGACGCCGACACTCGCTCCGCGCCATTGAGCATCGGGAACGCATGGCCGCGACAGCTGGCGCATCTCATCAGAGGCAGTTTGAGCTCCAAATGTCTCACTAGGACACACACTGATCGTCTGACAGAGATCTATGGGTGTGAGTAGGTGTTCATGGCGTGGTAAGTCGCTCCTCGGCGCCGTCGGTGGTCGGACTATCGGCGAGCACAATCGTGTTTCTGTGATGTGTGAGCGCGTTTTTGATGGCCGCCGTATCGGGTCGTTTGGACACAGATGGAGTGTGGCGCTATGGATGGTCGGACTGACACACTTACAGAGACGGCAACTCGATGCAGATAATACGCCACGCTTATATAATGATGCTGGGAGATGGCTTATAAGTTGAGCTCTATCATCTACAACTGAGCTGCGCATACATATACCTACTCGTATCCTGGTAGAATTACTCAGCAAGTACTTACTTATAACTAGTTCACCTTATGCTAAATGCTCTTCCGTTTGACTTCACAGTTCACAGATGGAATGCTCAATAGCCTATAAGAGAAACATATTCTCCTACAACTTTTACATTGCCTTCATCTAACAAAACTGGTTAATATGCTCTAAAAGTCGTCACATGCCGATGAGAGCTTTTAGGTCCGCTTTGATCATAAACTTTCGGAGTTCAAAGCCACAGTGCTTCTTTGTTCGTCAGTTCGCAGACTCTGCAGCTCCGCAACCGTTCCTAGAATTTCCCCCGGCCAATGCAGTAGGTATGCATCCGTTGACCGTTCTCAGAGTAGGCACTAGTAGGTACTGCCTCGAGAATGAGAATGACTATAGCCTTGATACACCATTTATGTAGGTCAGCCGACCGGCCTGTCTCCGAGATACAGCTCCACGAAAAGGGGTGCTATCCGACGCGCTGATGTCACGGCCCGTGTCCCCCATCGAAATGAGCTGATGTCACGGCCCGTGTCTTCACGGAGAGGCGCTGAAGTCACAGTCCGTGTTTCTATGGGGGAAATGCTGAAGGGTGAAGCTACGACCCATTGTCATCATGATTGGCGAGCTACCGCTGATACCACGGCCACGGTTGATACCTGTTTCTCTAGACCTACTATATTTGTCGTGACCTGTGCCTCTATAGACGTTCTAAAATTACAGACCGTGCTTCTACTGACGTTCTTACTTCTGATCTTGCATCTCTTGCCTCTGCCGACGTTCTGATGTCACGACTCGTGTCTCTGCAGTGTCCATGACGTGCCATATGCCTGACGTAGGTCTGGTAGTGTCCTGAATAGTGACAGCGCTGTTGGGATGCCTCCGCCATCCCGGCGCCACCGTCCGAACGGCAGTGCCGAGAGGGTGACCGTGAGCCCGGCGGCGGCGGCGTGGCACCGGCCATCGAACGTTTTATGGTCGGGCTCACAACAGTCATAGAATGGTTAGCCATGACATGGTTACCCAAATCAATGTGGGGCTTATCTACATGGGAAATATTTGTCACTGTGTCCCGTAACAACTGAAAATGATGACATAAGGTCTCGCATGGTCATGTTTGGCGTTCATTTGAGAGATAAATGCCGATGATTCATTAGATCTTACCACTATTTGGTGTGAAAAGGCGACACTTTAGCACTACTGCACTTCGGTGATCTTCCAGGTGGTCTATGATATCTTTGGAAAGGTGTTGGGGACTGCCTATTAGTCACAGCCAGGGAGTGTGACACATGACTCTCTGGTGTTGATAGCGGAGTCCCGACTGCCACCGTGTCGCGGTGACCCTCCGTGCTGGCCCCGGGCACTGACTGTGACCTGACCTTTAACCCTATTAGTGGCAGGGGGGGGGGGGTTGTTTTTATCCACCCCTCAGGTTTTTTAGGAATATCTCCGAAACCGCTGAAGCTACGATGCTGAAATTTTCTGACTTTTCCTAAAACTAAAATTGGGCACATTCCCTGAAAATTTCAAGTTCATAACTTTACCAGGGGCGGCTCCAGAGCACTGGGAATTGGGGGGTCCTATTCGTGAAGCGAGTCATTTGGGCGAGATCACGATGCTGCACCAGTTTTACGAACAGTGAATGAAAGGTATCATGTGATAACATATACAAAGTTATTGTGCATCCTCTTTTGACACGTTTTTGCTATAATAGGCGGATCCAGGCGTCCAAAAAGGGGGTTATTTTTTACCTCCCAACATAGGTGCCCTGACACCGCCTATGCATGACCAATACAATTTTAGTCGTTCTCTCATAAGAAAATTGTAACATAACAAGACCATTGCCACGCTTTTTAGAAACAGTACCAACAAAAACCTTATTTACTATACTTTTTGTGTACCCCCAATCTCAATGATCTGTATCCGCCTATGATTTTTGAAAATGCATATTTTTAGGATCCATGTGAATTCCTGGTTCATTCTCTATCGATCGGCAAAAGTTGCGTTAAGATTGGTTCAGAAACCTGGCCGTGATAAACAGTCTAAAATGTATCTGCAATTTGCCCGTTTTTACCCCCCTCTACCCCCCTATTGACATTTTTTAATTTTATTTTTTTTAGAAATGTAGATCTCGTTGAGCCAAATCGAATGCCGTTTGAATTTTGAAAATCGGCCGGTTAGATCTCGAGATATCAAGGGGGGGGGGTCGTAAACAGCCCCCCCCCCTGCCACTAATATGGGGTAGCCAGGAGCCTGCCACTAATAGGGTTAACCCTCCATTGCACCGCCCCCTCACGGGCACTGGGCCAGAACTGGTGGCAGCCGTGAAATCTGTCACAGTCGTGTTGACAGATCAAACTTAGATGACGGGTATTGGGAATCGGTCTCACACCATCAGACGTAATTCAGGGTCGCTATGTCAGTGGGTGGAGGAAATTGGACACAAGAGATAGTTTATGGTGTCCTCGGGTTGCCGGGGTATTAATGACATAAATTTTGTGTTAACACGAAGACATATTTGTGGTAATAGTGTTTATGAGGGATTGATTACCAACACGTGTTCATTTCATTCTCTTTGTTCTGTGACAGGTGTAATTAAGAATCCGCTTCTATAAAAAAGAACGATGAAACCCGGTCTCATAAACAATGCTTTAATGTTAGACTTTATAGGTATACCTACCCCGTGCGCAGCTGTTAGCCATGAGAGCATCCAAGGGATGTGACAAGTGTCATAAATCGTGAGCGGAAAATTCGCCTTGTCCAGCTCAGAGGGCCGGTCGAACGGGATCTTACCTCACTATGCCGAAATTGTGGGCGCGCCCGTCGACCGTAACCCCGTCTGTTATGGCACGCGTAAATCGGGTGAAGGCCGCCGCTACTCGGTACGGCGGCCAGCCTGTGATGCCGGCGCGGCGCGCGCCGTGGTCAGCCAGGTGTGCCGAGACATGTCGAAAGTGGCCGTGCTCTGGCTACTCCCGATGACTCACTGTCGGATAATGTGTGAGCTGCCGCCGATCTCTGGGAGCCCGTGGGAAAGGCCGGGTGGCTAATAAGGACGAAAGTGGTCATTTAGTGGGAAATCGCCTTTCACTATTCATTGGCTCACATAACCATTCATAGTATGCATGCTACTGATCAGAAGGTGATAATCTAGCAAAACTTACTGTGTACGCTCTTACAGATTGTGTAGCTAGCATCTAATGACGTCATTTTCTGTGTATTTCAGGCGGTACCAGGCCGGTGACGTCAGCGGTCCAGCGCCGCCGACCCGCCGTAGCTCGTCGCGACCTGACCTGACCTGACCCAGCCATGACGCCGGACGCCTCCTCGGTGCTGGGCCAGGTCACCTGGTCCGAGGAGGTCAGCTCGCTCTTCGACCTGCTCAAGACTCACGAGCTTCCCCTTCTGGTGAAGGTGCACAAGGGCCAGTACCTGAACGTCGGACCCGGCGGCCTGTCCAGCCTGGGCGTCCACAGCACCCTCCTGCTGACCTCCGGAGGCAGGCGGCGGCGGCTCGTCGCCCAGGGCGTCAAGTTCAAAGACAACCGCCGGTTGGTGTCTGTTGGTCAAAAACTCCTCATCCCCGACACCTTCGAGGGCTTCTTTGAGATCCTCTCGGAGGAAGGCCGGTCGGTGCGAGCTATAGAGAGTGTCGCTGAGCTGGCGCGTCTCTTCCCAGACTCATGCATCGTGCGCTGCAACTGCAAGGCATACGTCTCCAAGTCAGACAGTGTGGAGACGATCACCGAGCGATCGCGTACCATTCAGAGCGGCGAGACACTGGTCTTGGTTGGTGAGGTGTCCCGGCCACGCGGCAGGGGTCCGGCGCGCTTCCTCCGCTGTTTTGATAGCTCCGGAGAGAACGTCTATCTACCGCACGAGCAGAAGGCCAAGTTCAGCGCCGTGGCGAAAGAGGAGAGTATCAGTGGGGTGCACAGCGTGGGGAACATCCTCAACAAGAGGCTGCCGCTGAACGTGCGCCTGGTGAGCGGCCGGCCGGTGGACGCGCCGCGGCTCGGCGGAGGGTTCGTGCCCGAGCTGCGCGTGCACACTACCTACGAGGATGAGTTGGTGGTGGCGCTGCCTCTTCACAAGGACAGCGTGGTGGTAACTCTACCCACCACCGCCCCGCTCCGACTTCAGGTGGCCACCAATGGAGACGCGCTGGCGAAGAGCGTCGAGTTCGGTCGGCTGTGCGATCGCGCTGCTCAGGTGTGGCTGCATGGAGTCGACAGGATGCATCCCTTCGACATCCCGCTGCCAAAGGACCCACGATTTGACGCCAAGGCGAAGGCGGCGCCGCGACCGCGGGGCTTCCGGAGGTCCATCTCGACACCCATGTCACGCGTCACGCGTCGCCACAGCGGTCAGACGGTCGACGAATACGACGAGATCGACCAGATCTATGACTACGTGCGAGGCTTCGCGCCGATGCCGCGGGACGCGCGAGCCGCTGCGCTGGGTCACTCCGCTCCTGAGCCAGCGCCGGCGGCTGCAGCACCGCGGCGGCCTCAGGCAACATCAAACGCCACCCAGACCCCTCCCACGTCGCAACCTGCCCCAGCCCCGGCGCCGGCGCGAGTTTCAGACCAGCCGCCAGAGCCGCCGCCGATCGAGACGATTCCCTCTCGACGGCTGTCGCTGGCTGCGGTCAGGCCGTTCAACCTCCACCCGGGTGTGTTCTCTGCCCAGAAGGTGGTGCGGCCCGAGCCTCCGCCCGACAATCGAGTCTCTGCCGAGAAGAGGGCGCGTGAGGCGGCCGTGGCGGCGGTACGGCAGGGAGAGCCTCGTCCGGCCGGAAACCTCTTCACCAAGAATTGTAACGCGAGGGCGAACCAGCGCTTCGCGGCGCATAGGAATGGTGGAGGGATGAACAAAATCAGTAACGTCCACGCGGCGCTGCCGGACGCGGTCCGTTCGACGGTCCGCTCCACTGTGCGCTCAACAGGTCCCTCGCCGCTGTTTGACCTGCGCTACAAGTCGCTCACTAACCTGCTCATGGACTTTGACACGCTTGAGTCGAGCAACTCTGGCGGCAAGACGTCAGGAGGCGACTCGGGCGACTCAGCCCTGCTCAAAGGCAAGATCTCGGAGAAGAAGGTGCACAAGCTGACGCGACCCAAGTCGCTGACCAACCTGGTGTGGGACGCGCACGCGCCGCCCCCGGAGATGTTCAACAAGCCGAGCATCATCACCGACCACGAGCGGAAGCTGCGGCTCGAGCCGGGAGTCTACACCCGGCGCAGCCACAACATCCTGCTCAACAACAAGTACAACAACCTGAAGAAGATCGGCACGCTGTACTTGTAGAGGTGAGTTTAACGACTTTTTTTCTTTTTTCTGTCTTTTGGACCACATGGTGTGTACTTGGTGAGCCTACACGAGTGTTTTGATTGCAACACCCGTTCAATTAATAAATTTTGGAGACTGGAACCTTCCCCCACCTATTAACCCGGCAGTTGCTGGGGTATTTCGCCACCCACCGTTTGCTGGGGGGGGGGGGGGCGTTAAACGCCCCCAGCCGATAACTCGAGAACCAATAGGCGCAGCGAAACGCACGAGGCGGCAAACGAAAGAACGCGACGAGACGCTTCAGATGAGTACTTTAAAGTTGAATTTTGAGGTCACATGTCGGGTCAAGGTCAGGTCAAACACCTGAAATCGGGCTTTCAGTAGCATGGATTTGAGGACTTCGCAATGGGCGCCTCTCGTCATAAACTCTGTCAAAACGGTGCACAATCCATCATATAAGGCCTACAAGAGTGTCAGCTCCATGTAGGGGTCAATCAAGCATAGGTCAGGGTCAAGGTCAGGTCAACCGGGTAGGCACATATCCCCGAAAATCAAAACTGATATTCGCAGCCTGTGACACATGTGTTATGGGTAATTTGGGGCGTAGAACACGATGGTGACATTCATTTTATCATATGTGTACGTGTTTGGCTCAAAAAGTTGAATTTAAGAAATGCATGTATCATGGTCGTGAAGTAGTCACGAGAAATTGCCAAGATTCAGTTCAAGATTTTGGAAAATGCGGAACGATAATCAATTATCGAAGATAGCCATCTGATTGTGCATGGTATTGGCAGTCTAATGGCGTTTACGGCATGTCTGTATGTCTATTCTGTGATTTTATATGATTTTTTGAACATATGCGGTTTTTGGTCGAAAACTCAGAAATCATGACGTCACTAAAACCTCGATATCTCAAAAATTATCCGATCGATTTTTTTTTGAAACTTTGGCACTATAAACTTCAATCAATTCCCTACAGGTATCCAAAATTTGGCGCGCCTGCGGCGCGCCGTTTTTATACTAGGTATGGCCCGGCGAAAAATGTGGGGGCGTTTAACGCCCCCCCAGCAACTCGCGGGTTAAGCATCCAACAGGTTCCGCAAATGCAACCGTAAGACACGTTACAGGCCAATCACTTCATGCATCTCATTCTTGGCTCTTACTGCTGGGCCAGGAACATTTCTGGGAAATGTTTCACAAGAAAGTAGTGCCTACTACAGAATGTCATTCACTCGTCCGTACACCGATTTTCTGCACGCAGAAACAAGGGACGCCGCACGGCTGCGTTCCGCTAAATGGCATTATCGAGAGAACTCGTGTGGGATAAATCCGCTTACCGTTGCTCGAAGCGAAGTTTTTGGTACCTACTCGTCGGAAGCAGGTGTACTTTTGCAGCGAGACTGCACTTATGACATTTGTTCTGACCTTGTCGATCTGCGGATGACACGAAATGAAATTATATTTGTTGAATTTTTGCAACTGCGATTGAACAGGGCACGACGTCGCATACACACTTGTGGCGTTTTGGAGATCTTTAATTCTTATATGTATAATGGTGACCGTGTGTTTTATATATCGCGCATCATGCTCAAGCGGTATAGCCCAAAGTGCACCTTCAGCAGCTGTATCACATAAGAGTTTTCCGCTAGATAAGCTCAGTACTCTGACAAGCCTCCTTTCTTTGTTATCCCTTCTGTTCTGTTTAAGCCTTTCTGTTCCGACGAACAAGACTGTGTTTTATCGCTTCCGTGAGGATGGGTCAACTGTCAACTAAATCCGTTTAAATCAAGATAGTAGGTATTTCCTTATAGGCTTATTTGTGTTGTTTCTGCTGAAATTATTTCATTTAATACCCAAGCCGGACACGTCTTGTCATCTTCTAACCCCTAAGCGTTTCGGTAGAAGGTGACCCTCATGACCTGGGGGAACGGTTCAGCAGGTTCAGCACATTTTTAGAATTGTATTGCATGCCATATTTATTTCGTCCTTGCAATTTGCTTGCAATCAGCACCATAGAGTTGAAGAAATGAGTTTGAAGAAATGAGTCGTAATTTCCCAATCAGAAACGAACGATTTTAGGTGCAATACCTATGCATTGTGTAACTATCAGATCATTTGCACTCGGCTGGCTGCTCGTATTTCTGAAACTCATTACACTCGCCATCCCGCAAACGGCTTCAAATTATGCCATAACCTGTCCGAGCAGCGAAACACATTGCTCGTGCGCTGGCGACTCCTTCCGTTCTCAGCCCGTCTGTACGCAATCGGTTCATTTCTCACGGGACGGAGTGGAGCCGTGCTCCTCCTTCGTGGAGCGGGTCACCGCTGGTTACATCACCGAACGTCCATTGTTTCCGGTGAAGCGGCGACCGCAGTCACTGCGTACAATCAGAGTCCTGTGGGGAAATAGGCGTGGGACGTGGTGGTTGGATCGTCGGGGACTCGGGACACGTTCGCTGGCAGGAGAAACTGAGAGTGGAATCGGAGCTGGGAGTCGAGTCAGGCGAGTTGTGTGTGAGGAAGCCTCTGAGCTGTGACGGGAAGAGAGCTGAGCTTCGAGTGAAGGGAGAGCTGGGGCCGAGTCAGTCCGTCAGTTGCTGAGAAACAACAGAGAGAACCGTCAGCAGCTGAAGACGGCGATACAAATCGTCAGCGGCGAAAGAGGTGTCATTGGGGCCGGCTGTTTGCTTGGTTATTGTCTTCAGCTCAACCTTAACCAGGTTTATAGAGCTCTAACTGCACCAACATGTGTATTTGAAGACCTCGGTGGAATAGTTTCCGCGGCTTATACGCCATTTTAACCCACAATTCAGCATCACTTAAGGCTTCCGGAACGCATCAGCGAGTAAATAGGTATCTAAATTTATTGATGAAACACCAGCTGGGTTATCAGTACACGGTAGACATCCGTCCCTCCATTTTCCTCTCCCCCATGTTCTCTCCCACCGCTGACCCGAGGTCTCGGAGTTGTGAGCCTCGGCTGCCCAGGGGTGTGTTTCGCCACCCCGTGCCAGTGACATTGTTCCGAGATAGCCGGGCTGTCTGGCCAGCCTCGCACCATTCCCACGCCCATTATGAAACTATGGCCGGCCGATCCGTGGCGTGACCAGCGGCTGTAGGGCGGGGCAATGGTCAGGTCGTGGGCCCGGCGGTGTAGCGTACCCTTTTAGCCGACCATGTCCGGCCGACGTAAAGGATGTGCTGATTGTTGCTGTGTGCAAAATAAGATGTTGAATATGCCGCCAAATAACCATGATAAGCAATCCCTATAATGCTTACGAAATCACCCGTCTATTCGTTTTGGAGCTACCGTCATAAATGACAACCTTACCATTTGTCACCTGGATTTGTCTTCTCGGCTCCTGGCGCCGTCGTGAGGACTGAGGAGTGAATGTCCTCAAGACAGCGGTTCGGATCCGGTTAGGTAGCCACCCCTCGCTTTATGACATGTTCGCCGGAGCGACCAGGCTTTACGCCATGATTTACCGCTAGTGTCACGATTAAAAAGGCTCGTCTAACGACACAATCTAGCGCGCTCCAGCTCCGCAGCCTCGTAAACGGCTCCTAACACCGATAATGAAACGCTGGCGCAGCGCGTGTAGGCCGTGCGCAGTGCTCGGGTCGGTCGGCCGAGCAGTCGAACGGTCGTTGGGACGGTCGGGCGCGGTCGGACGGTCGGGCGGTCGGGTGGTCGGGCGAAGTCTTCACGGTCACAGTTTGGAGGGGAGTCACGTTCGATCGCCGACTGGCCCCTGTCACACAAAGTTGTGTCCAACCAATTTGCCAGGACTGTGTTTATAGGTGACCCCCTGCTGTTTTGAACCCGATGGGAGTACGATGGGAATCCAACGGGAATCCAGCGGGAGGCCTACAGGAGTCGGACAAACGAGTCCATAAATTGCCAGTAATTAGTGCATGACTGGGCGAAGGGCGGGGCGGTGCCGAGCTGTAACGACGAGCTACCCGCCGGCAGCCAGCCCCGGCGAGCTTGTAATGGGAGCGACAGTGGCTAAACAGTGAGCCAGATTTATTTATGAGGCTGCTCTAGGGAATTAGGCAGAACAAAGGTGAACCAATTCGTGACTTATATCTTTGAAATAAATAAGGATAGAGGGTGTAAGTGACCAATTGAAATAGGTTATGAGACTCAACCTAATATAAGGGTTCTGCTACAAAATAGTGACATTTACCACTTGCAGGTGTTCGCTGATACACTGTAATCCCACCGATTCCGCACCCGACAACTAAGCACTCCTCTTGACCCAGCATTTTCCTGTTTTCTTTTTCTTTCCTTCCGTCATCTTCCGTCCTAACCCTGACACGCTACGATGCACCGTCCTTCCCCGCACCTCAAATCTTTATCTTCCAAAACAAAGCATCGAAATATCTCTCTTCAAATCCCTCATTTTGCTCTCGACCCTTCCCGTTCCGGCACAGTGCACACTGGTCGGAAACGCCCTCACGAGAGGCCACGGGCGATTCCGGAGTTTCGGATTATTTTTTATATAGATCGATTTGAAATTGATCAAATTATTATACTTAGGCCAAAAAAAACTAATCCGGGTGACCAAAAATAGCTGTAATCAGCCCCCGAAGATGGGGTATCCCAGAACTCGGAAACTGACGCGGAGCAAGAGGTTTCTTGAGCCGGATATTCAGAGTCTTATTGCTGATAGACACCAAATTGAAATCCCACATATTATGCATCAAAATGTTCGTTATGAAGTTGCCGACTGGTCAGTGCAAAATTTTTGGCATACTTTTTCCCTAACTTAGATGTACTATAGCTTTTTTATGAAGGCTCTCCTACAGTGATTTTGGAATATAACTGCAAAGTTTAGGTAAGGAAACAACAGGTAGTCCCATCTAGTTCCACTCTGATTTTTTGTGAGATGAAGTAGGATTTAAATTTACACCAGGGCAGCATAAAAGCTAACTGCGCATATTTGCGCAAAATTTGCAGGAGCCGCTCTTCCTACCCAACTACCGCCCGCCCCGCCCCAGTTTCGGCTCGGCC